GTTGGGATAGTATTATATTGAAACATCATTATAACCTTTAGAATACATGGAGATAAAATATGTATAAATAATAAACATAGTTTATTTTGGTTATTATCATCGTAATAAATAAGTTCTGAGAATACTCGCGTATTGCAGCTGATAGGTAGGCGGTGCGCGGTGGTACGACAACGCGATAATTGCCCAGATAAAGCATTACATTTAATTGATACAATTTTCTTATAGTTATTATATCGGTACCTACTATAGTTAGTTATGAGTTATCTCACATTCCATCCATCAGCAACCGCCTACCTATTATTACGTTATCACTTTGGCATCTAAAATAAAAATTAAGATATTCATGATGATCGATATTATTTCTCTGTATCTTTATATCTTACGAGTTACGAGTGAATTTTTTTACTAGGTAGGTGATCTATTTATAGAAAAAAGATTAAATTTTTTATAATATTTGAAATTGCATTTTATTATACATTTATATACCTACCTGGCCACCTGGGCARCTGACTATCTAGCTAATATTAATGACGTGTTACTGACTTACTGTATTAGTACGCTGTCGGCATATTTTGGTGACTTGTCGCTTTACTGTATGTGTTTTTAAAGAACAACATTTATATACATTAGTTGTTACAAATAATTTTTATAATAATTATTAACATGAGAACATTGAGAACCATAAGATTATGCTCAATTGAAATAAATAAATAATCACGTGCTAATAATTTAAATTGATAGAATTTTGTTTTATTATTTTTTACATTATAATGCAAATATTTTTAGTTTATAAATATATTAATATTACTTTATCATATAAATTTCTTTTGAAATCCAAATAATTTTTTCAGCAATAAAATTAATAAAAAATAGGTTACACAATATAAATTATAAAGTTTTATTGAATTATATTTTTTCCATTGCGTCCCATGGCATGTKTTTCAATTGGACTGAATAAAATTGTAATCCTAAAACATTAACAAATGTTAAATAAGTATAGATTACATATTTGTTTAATCATAAAAAATAATTTTAAATTAAAATGGTGAGATCATTGTTTAGTATTTACTAATATGTAAAATATTTTTAATAATACTTTATTCTCCCTTGAAATATAACTTATAACCGTAGTGTTTACCAAATATTGTTTTACTCAACCCTATATAGTTGTATTATTTGAAATAAATTGTGTGTTTAACAATATAATATGCTGTATTCTATAATAGGCAGTACTACAAACAGTAGGTAAACATAATTATTATTGAATAAATAATAAACAATTACTTATTATACATTCACGTATTTGAAGTATTAAACCTTACGATAATTAACAGTATTTCTATAGTTTCTACAACTATTAAAAAATAAACTGTATTTCAGTTAAAATAAACGCTGTGGCTAGAGACCCAGACACCGGGTATATACTATAT